TCCCGTCCAGCGCGGGCCCTGCCTGGCGTGGGAGGCATCCGCGTGGGGAGACGGGATTCATCCGGCGAGCGCTCAGCCAGGGCTCTGGGCCCTTTGGGTGCACACAGTTCCCTGAGGGCAGAGGCCACGGGTGTTTGTGAGCAGAGCCCTGGCGTCGGACATTGGGCTGGCTCCCGTTCCTCTCTGGCAAACACTGCCATGGTGGGTGACATCACACGCGCATGTCTTGGGCTAAAGGCCTCTCATTCCTTAGGAGAGGTTCCTACAAGTGGAGGCAAGGGGCCCCGGTGTGTGTTCCCAAACTGCTTTCCCGACGGCACCCACCCGAGGAGCGCCAGAAACTGCCGTTGTCAGCATTGATCTGATTCAGTTCCACCTCCCGTTTAAAATGGAAAACAGTGCCAGCTCCAGGGAAGACGGCCCCCTTGCCGCGGGGGCCTATCAGCGTGCCCCTGAGCTCCCGGGCCTCTGGTCTGAGAAGGGGACTTGGGGTGCTCGGGGTTCTCTTAGCCTCACCCTGGGGGCCACTGGCCTCCTGAGGGGAACCCTGGCCCCAGGCTCCGGCAGGGCCAACTTGGGACCTGGCTGCAGCGATTGTCCCGTTCTCTGGACCCTGAGGTCTTCGTATCACACCTCCCACCTGCTGCTGTGGGCCTGGTGTTCCACCTGTAAGACGGGCCCTCGCAGGGCTGAGGACGGGCCTGGCCAGGGGGTGCCCAGGGCTGAGGACGGGCCTGGCCAGGGGTGCCCAGGGCTGAGGACGGGCCTGGCCAGGGGTGCCCAGGGCTGAGGACGGGCCTGGCCAGGGGTGCCCAGGGCTGAGGACGGGCCTGGCCAGGGGGTGCCCAGGGCTGAGGATGGGCCTGGCCAGGGGGTGCCCAGGGCTGAGGACGGGCCTGGCCAGGGGTGCCCAGGGCTGAGGAGGAGCCTGGCCAGGGGGTGCCCAGGGCTGAGGAGGAGCCTGGCCAGGGGTGCCCAGGGCTGAGGAGGGGCCTGGCCAGGGGTGCCCAGGGCTGAGGACGGGCCTGGCCAGGGGTGCCCAGGGCTGAGGACAAGCCTGGCCAGGGGGTGCCCAGGGCTGAGGACGGGCCTGGCCAGGGGGTGCCCAGGGCTGAGGAGGGGCCTGGCCAGGGCGTGCCCAGCAATGGGGCTTCCTCACAATGGTTGTCAAGCAACAGAGACTCCTCCCAGGGAAGCAGCTGGCCAAGAGGAGGGACCACACAGCAAAGGTGAGTTGAGGCAAGATGACAGCTACTCAGAAACACTACCTCTTCACGCCGGAACCTCACTATGTCCCTGGGTAAGCGCTGGACGCCGGCAGGGGGCTGGGGAGCGGCTCAGGCCGGCGGTGAGGGCACCCAGAGTGGGTCTTCAGGGAGCGGGCGGGGCCCAGGCCTCCCCTCCCTGCTGGCGGTGGGAGTGCCATGGCAGGTGGGCAGCGTGTCTCGAGCAGAAAGCCGGGGACAGCCAGCAGCGGGCGGAGGCTGGCGGGAAAATGCCGGACGCTCACACCAGAGTGCTCCACATGCTAAAGACGAGATAAGCACCCAGACGCCAGGCTGCCTCGCGGGGCAGCCCCCCTGTAAACCCCGACCACGCCCTCCGCGGAGTGTGCGCACCCACACACCACGCTGTGCTGTGAGCGAGGAAAAAGCGGCCAGGAACCAGACCTAACTTCCCAGTAGTTCTGGGGGCCAAGGTGGGGCAGGAGAGCCTGAGGGAGGGCTCCGAACCCCCACTACCCCCCACCCCGCCCCGAGATATGCCCACAGCACCTCCCACGTGGTTAAGTGTCACTCAGCTCAGCCCTCACTTCCACCAGCAGCCCTCCCGCCCGCTTCCCAAATCCTGGTCCTGTTCCCTGACTCCTGGCCTCCTGGGTGGCAAAGGTCTGAGCCAGATCCCCGCCAGGCCTTCCCACGGCGCCACCTTGCTGTGTGCAGCAGGCCTCCCGGTGCCTGGGCAGGACCCTGTCGCCAGCCCCGTCCGTGCGTCCAGGCATTCCGTTCCGTCGCCTCTGCCACCTGCCAGCCCCTCGCTGCCGTCCGATGGTGGTGGTGACACGGCAGGTTCGGTGCTTGACATGTGCTGCCCATTCAGCCTCGACAGCCCCGGAGCCCCGTTTCTGTGCCCTCCATCCTGAGGTCCAGGTCGGGTACCTGGCTGGGACTGGCAGGCTGGCTCCTGCCCTCGCCCACCGGCCCTGCCTCCTCCTTCCTTCTCTCCCCGCCCCCAGCTATGCCGGCTTCTACCCGCAGCTGCGCTACCAGGTGGGGAACACCTACGGGCGGACCACGGCGCAGCTGCTCACCGACCCCAGCGTGCAGAAGAGCCCCTGCTCCGTGCTGTCCCCCATCTCCAAGCCCAAGTTCATCGAGGACTTCAGCAAGCCCCAGCCGCCCTCGATCCCCTGCCGGGACCTGGCCGAGCCCTACATCCCCCACTACACGGGTGAGCCGAGGCCCCGCCGCCCGCCCCTCCGCGCCTCCCGCCCTGCTGCTGCTCACGCTGCCCTGTCCACACAGGTCTGAAGCCCTTCAAGAACTTCGAGGTCCTGGGCCAGTTCTCCCCGCAGCTGGCGGAGGCTGAAGGACTTCCGGGCGAAGAGAGCGCATGCTGGCAGGTCCCACTGCCTCCGGGCTTCATGCCCTACCCACCCTACCCCCCGTGCCCACCGGGCAGGAAGTTGGACGCTGGGGACCTCGGGCACCCGGGCCTGCGGCTGGCATATGGGGAGGAGGCCTGGACAACCACCACCCCCCTCCGAGAGGTCTCTGGGCAGCACCAGGTAACGGACACTGGGACCAGCCTCACCCAAGACCCGGGTGGGGGTGGGGGTGGTGGGTGTGACCCGCCCCTTCCGTCCCAGCTGTACCACTGCAGGAGGGATGAGTGCCCCAGCCCAGGCCACCAGCAGGTCGAGACCCTCGACGTAGCCAGGTTCCACAGGCTGCCCCAGCTGGACCACCCCAACCTGATTCAGCGCAAGGCCATCTCAGGTGGGTGCCGGGCCTGGCGGGAGGACACCCCACAAGGCCCGGGGGCCCAGCAGGAGGGTGAGAGCAAGGGCTGCCCACGTTTCCCCAAGGCTGGAAGCACCCAGAAGCCCATGCCTATCTGGCCCCAACGTGGAGGTGCCCATGGGACGGCCTTCCCGGGCACTAGGAGCAGTGGGCGGTGGAGGGGACCTGAGGTGGCACCAGACCTCTTCCTCCCCAGGCTACGCTGGCTTCATCCCCCGGTACGCCTGGGTGATGGGGATGAACTACCAAAACGGGGTCACACAGGCCATGGACGAGTTCGACAAAAGTCAGGTAGAGGACAGCAGCCCTGGGCCCAGCCCCTGGGACTGGCTCCCCGCCCCCAGCACAGATGGGGTGGGGAGCCCAGCAGGGTCAGGGCAGCCTCCAGACCTGTGAGGAGGGGATAAGACCCCCAAGCATTAACCACTCAAATGTCAGCCCCGCCCACCGGGCACTTGCAGCTGGATACCTGGTGGGGGCAGCCTGCCGGTCACACCTGCCCTTTCCCCAGTTCATGTCTAGAAACCCCATCTGTGCCCTGGGCAAGAGGCTGCCCCGAACGTACTGGCCCAGCAACACCATCCACAACAGCCAGGGCCTGATACCCTTCTACATGGGCTTCATACCATGTGAGTGCGGGCCACTGGGGCGGACAGGTGGTTGGGGCTCCTTCCCCCTGCGGCTCCACGGGCACAGGGCCAGCTGGGTGTCCCTGAGGGGGGACGGCCCAGCACCCCTTCCCCAGCGAGGGCCTCTTGTGCCGTCACAGAGACCACCTGCCCCAGGTTCCCGGGGCCCAGGGCAGCCGCAGTGCCTCAGCCAGGGGGACCCCCGCCCTCTGCCCCTGGCCCGGCTGAGTGGCTCAGTGGGCCCTCCCCTCGCAGACATGCAGGACCACTACGGGATGACCTTCGGCAACAGCACACGCCAGGCCTACCGGAAGGAACGCGAGAGGAAGCACCGGGCACTATGAAAATGCTTTAATGGTGTCTGTACAACTCAGATGTCAAGACAGGAAGAAGAGCAGTGCACACAGTGAGACAGGATCATGAGGACAGACTGAGAGTGAATAAAGAGTTCTCACGCTTCCGGTAGCAGGTGCTCTAGGCCACCTCCTCCTCGGCCTCCTCCTCAAACTCGCCCTCCTCCTCGGCCGTGGCGTCCTGGTACTGCTGGTACTCGGACACCAGGTCGTTCATGTTGCTCTCGGCCTCGGTGAACTCCATCTCGTCCATGCCCTCGCCCGTGTACCAGTGCAGGAAGGCCTTGCGCCGGAACATGGCCGTGAACTGCTCGGAGATGCGCTTGAACAGCTCCTGGATGGCCGTGCTGTTGCCGATGAAGGTGGCCGACATCTTCAGCCCCCGGGGCGGGATGTCGCACACGGCCGTCTTCACGTTGTTGGGGATCCACTCCACGAAGTAGCTGCTGTTCTTGTTCTGCACATTGAGCATCTGCTCGTCCACCTCCTTCATGGACATGCGGCCCCGGAACACGGCAGCCACGGTCAGGTAGCGGCCGTGGCGGGGGTCGCAGGCGGCCATCATGTTCTTGGCGTCGAACATCTGCTGGGTGAGCTCAGGCACCGTCAGGGCACGGTACTGCTGGCTGCCCCGGCTGGTGAGCGGGGCGAAGCCGGGCATGAAGAAGTGCAGGCGGGGGAAGGGCACCATGTTCACTGCCAGCTTGCGCAGGTCAGCGTTGAGCTGGCCAGGGAAGCGGAGGCAGGTGGTGACCCCGCTCATGGTGGCCGACACCAGGTGGTTCAGATCACCGTAGGTGGGCGTGGTCAGCTTGAGGGTGCGGAAGCAGATGTCGTAGAGGGCCTCGTTGTCGATGCAGTAGGTCTCGTCCGTGTTCTCCACCAGCTGGTGGACCGAGAGGGTGGCGTTGTAGGGCTCCACCACCGTGTCCGACACCTTGGGCGAGGGCACCACGCTGAAGGTGTTCATGATGCGGTCGGGGTACTCCTCCCGGATCTTGCTGATGAGCAGCGTGCCCATCCCGGACCCCGTGCCCCCGCCCAGCGAGTGCGTCAGCTGGAAGCCCTGCAGGCAGTCGCAGCTCTCGGCCTCCTTCCGCACGACGTCCAGGACGGAGTCCACCAGCTCGGCACCCTCCGTGTAGTGCCCCTTGGCCCAGTTGTTGCCGGCGCCACTCTGACCTGCAAGAGGGCAGTGGGTCACCCTGTGGCCAGGCATGTGTCACTGGTAACCCCTGGGCCCAAAGGCCAAACATCCTGGTGCGAGGTGACACAGCTCACCCCACAGGTAAAGCAGGTGGACCCCCACTAAGGCAGCCGCCTGCCTCGTTAAACATTAACTCCGGGGTTGAGCTGAGACACTTAACAATAAGCCGGCCCCTCCCACTCGGCCCTGCCAATTCCCAAGGACAGATGAGCCGCCACCGCGCTCTCTGCGGGGCGATTACATCGCCGCTCGCTCCGCCCGGACAGCTGGGCCTCCCTCCCAAAGCGGCTTTAGGCGGCGGATTGAGTGACGCGCAGGGGAGGAGGGTGGTCCACTGGGCCCCGCTTTCTGCGCCAGGTAACAAGGGGACCGGGACTTCCCTCTGCGGCTTCTGAATGGGGGTGACCTTGGGC